GAGCATGGAAACAGAATATTAATATGAATTTCTCATATTACATGGCTAAAATGGCAATTTATGGAATATAGTTGGGTCTCTTTTACACATATATTTAATTATAGTCTAAATCTGCTCATGGAATTCCCTTATTTCTCTAATCATTAAAAAAATTATAGTAGCCCTTGGTATCTGTATGGGATTGGTTTCGGAAACTTTGCAGAAGTTAAAATTTATGGAAGATCATGTTCCTCGTATAAAATGATTTAGTATTTGAAAATAACCTATGCACATCCTCTACTACATTTTAAATAATCTCTAGAGTACTTAGAATGCCTAATATAATATAAATGCTATGTAAACAGTTGTTACAGTATTTGGGGAATAATGAGAGGAAAAAATCTGCACATGTCCAGCACAGATGCAATTTTTTCCCAAGTACTTTCAATATAAGTTTGGTTGAATCTGCAAATGTAGATCCTGAGAATAAAGGGGGCCAACTCTATTTTCATCAACAATATTCTAGGAATAGAGCTAGAGAAGTCAATCAGATACCAACAGCGATAAATAGAAGAACTAATGAAAAGTTTAGTAGGTCTTTCCCTCACAGAGCATAGAACCTGTGAGGATATAGAATCTTCATTTCCAAATAGTAAAGTCCTACTGTGTGCCATACATTCTTCTATGTGCAAGGTAAACAGCATCAACAAAACAGACAAGACCCTTGCCCCAGTGGAGTTTACGTTCTTAGTAGATGGAGACAGGATAAATAAGGTGGCAATCAGTGAGTAGTAAATCCCATGAAGAAATGGAACTCCATAAAGGGACAGGAAGTCACCAAGCAGAGGGGGAAAGGTAGTAGGTCACGGTGCTCAGAGAAGACTTCTGAGCAAAGACCTGGCTGCAGACATGGAGGCATCCATCCATGCTAAGATTTGCGGGAAGAAATGTTCAAGCTGAGTAAATACCTTTTAAAGTCCCAAAGGCAGGAATGAGCTTGTCTGCTGGAGAAATTACAAGAAAGCCAATGTCAATTGAGTGTCTGGAATGTCCTTTGAAGGTAGGAAATGGGGAAGCCAAAGAGGGGAAGGGTGTAGGGGCAGATTGTGTAGAGCTTCATTTGATTTCCCATGTAATGGGAAACTGTAGGAGGATTTTAAGGAAGAAAATGATACTTCTTATTCACTTTAAACTGCATTAAAGCCATAATTACATTTAAAAGTAATTATTAAATGAGTTTTATTAACAAGAAGACTCATGAGATGGCACAGTCGAGTGTAAGGGAGAACAGCAAACACCCATAGGACGGGACCTACTTGCCATGTCCCTAAAACCTGAGTTCCCCAGCGGAGACAGTGTGGGAGCAGCTGGCCAAAAGGCTGGGAGAGCTTCAACACCCCAGCCTCTGAGGCAGAAACAGTTTTGATTCCTTCTTGGATCTTTTGATTCTCAAATGTTACAAGCAAACCACAAAACCTAACTATTGGGTGGAAAAGTTAACGCAGATGCTAACGAGCTCCTCCTCGAAAAATCAGGGATCTATTTGTCAAATGAAGTTGGTAGGGACATTTTTACAAGTTGATTTGAAAGACAATGATTCCTATTAACCTTTCCTGGCAACTGTCACTTTTACCCCCAATCCCTATGCATAAATCATATATTATCTTCAAATTTAATGACAAGTTACTAAAAGCATGCTTATCAATTGCCTGCTCATTTCACACTTGCAGGAAGTCCTCCCACATAACTGCATCCCCTCTGGCTTCTATTATAGTCATGAGCCCCCACAATACTGGGCAAAAGCAAAGCAGATTTTCTAAGGATTCCCCAAATTCGAAGAATAGTATATATATATATATATATATATATATATATATATATTACATCTGAATTGTGTAAATATACATCTTTGTGAAATTTTGAGATATAGGAGAAAGAAAACAATGTTCAAGAAGCACAGAATGTGAGTTAGACATTATTCAAAACATTTTGCTACTACATCAAGGTAGGAAGGGATCAAACAAAAAGTGGTAAAGACACAAAGTCCATTTGTATTTCTTGTTACTTACCAAGGACCTGGTCATTCTCAAGTATTTAGTATCAAGCTTGCTAATGATTCTGAAAGAGCTATATGATAGAGTCAGCCCTCCCCCTAACCCTGCTACACACACATACACACAAAGATGTTTCCCCCAATAAAATTGTGATATTGGGTGTATTTATTTTTCTTTTCCCTATCTGACAAGTAAGGATAATGCTACAAAGTTACATCACATTAATTGACAGTGTCCTGCCAAGATGATCTTGAATTAAATCCCCATCCCAGTAAGAGATCAATGCCACAGCAATTGTAATACTAACGGTGACCAACAAATCATTTGCCTTCTTGCATACCTTGCTTCTCATCCCACTCAGCTGCAAGATAAGGAACTCTGAGGAATGAGATTTGAGAGTGCAAGTCTGTAAAAAGTGGTTTCCATTGATGACTAGTGTTTTGTGAAGAATATTTAAAAGAATCCACTCTATAAATCTTCAGAGATGCAAATGGGGTCGCATGGATTATCATCCAGTTTCATCTAGCAATAATAACACATTTATTCTGCACCAGAAACTTTTCTGACAGTGATGCCATGAGCTGCAGAATAATCACTGTGCTTCCATTAATTATTGTGTTGAATAAATGGATGAATTAACTTCATTTACACACATTGATACCCTCAGCTTCTGCACTGCATTGCTTCTTAGTATATCTCAATCGCTTGGAATTAAACCAGTATAAAATGCAATATCAAGCACACCAAATGATTACCATAAAAGATTTACATTCATATTATCAAAATAAATATATGCAATGAAGGAAACTTCTAATTAAGGGAAAGCTATCAGAACCTTTAAGTTCTTCCGCTGAACACATTTATTTGGTTTCTCAGTTCTCCAACCAATCACATTAGCAATGACAAAAGATATGCAAATTTATACCAACAATAGTCAAGTCGACTGCTCTGACTCATACCAACTTGTACATTTGGAGCATATATCCAACCTGATGCACACTTTCAAGGATCCGTGTAACCAAAGAACATTATAATAGAGTTATGCTTGGCTACAGTCTGAAAACTATGCCATAATCATTGGTCTATGCCATAATCATTGACCAAGAACAATGCAAACAAAAGTCAAATTTACTTCACAAAAATAAATTAACATATGAAACATGTGCATGATTTAAACCCTGCAGCATTGTGTGTTTACACTGTCACCACTGAATAATTGCATAGCAACAAAAGATGTGCATTACCATGTTTGAATCACCATTTTGATTGTATGTTTTAAACAAACAAAGCATTACATTTTTGGTAGAATAGCTCATTCACAACCATGTGAGATTACATTTCTTTCTCCATTCCACTCAAGGAACTCAAACTCATTTATAATGACTGAATTCTCGTTAAAAATTATATGATTGGCATATTGAGAATAATGACATGCTAGTCAACAAAATTCACTCATTTACTATGCAAATAAGTTTTGTACAAGAAGGAACCCTGTAAACTACCACGGTTAACACCTAAAATTAAGTTGCAATTATCCAAAGGCTGCAGAATTCTGTTTGTTTTCTACTCTTTTCCCTACCTATTGATATTTCACCTGTAGTCGAATAGAAAGACCAACTACAATTCTTCCAGGTTTGGAAACGCTAAATTACCAAGTTCCAGTTAGCAGGTCAAATAAAATAATAGCGATCTTAGTTCGGTCCCTAGTGGACAAAAGTAGAATAACTATTACTTGGCATGATTCAGCAGGCAGTGATCTGAGTGAGTGTGACCACACAGGAACAAAAAAGAGCATTTGTCCTGTCCCTATCTTTTATCTTCTTAATGGTTTGCTCTAACAGACTAACCTAAAGAAGCCTGGCTGTGTTCCTATCTGTAAGCACCAAGTGAATCTATCAGCAAAAGGCGTGTGGGAGAAGCTTTTTGCAAATAAAAAAGTCAGTTGAATTCTCTTATTATCTGCTGTTTACCTGTAACCTGGTTAAGCAGAGAGCAAAGAGAGAATGAAAGAAAGTGTGTTCATAATTGAATAGGTACATTTTCAACAGAACTCTTAAATGCTTTTCTGACAAATAACTGAGTAAGCAATTCAATTTGGTTTCTATAAATTGGGATTAAATGTATATTCAGGATTAATATTCATTTGGATACTTAGATTCCCAAATGACACTGAAAGTGTAACTAGAATGCCCTGAGAAAAGAAGTATTTCAGGAATACAGCAGAACCCATATGTTGTGTTCAGTCCAAATCTGCAGGTGCACGTCTCCAAAGAACCACTACCAGCCCAGTTCTCTACTCTAGATGAGTAAACACCCCCATCCTGACGAGTTCACATTAAAATTCATCTTCTTGATTTTTTTTCTCAAGGGCAGAAGAATTATATAATAGTAATCAGACCTATATACTACCCATGGCTGAAATTAGCAGTTTCTTTTACTTATTTATATGATTTCTCCAACCAAATATTATACTTCATATTTCCTCTTGCTTCATATTCCTTTTACTACAGGTTGAAACAAGCAAATATGTCATGATGACTTGCCATCCTAGCTGCACAAAATTCCTGATATGAAATCTATGTGATCCTAAATTAATATCGCCATGATTTTTTTTCACCCACTTGATGAAGTAGTTCATGCTTTCTCTTTCATAGCTGAGCTTTGACAGGGAGGACACCCAAAGTAAACTTTAAAGAGAGCGAGCGAGGAAAAAAAAAAAAAAAAAACCAGAAATGTCACAAAATGTGCCCATCCCGGACACACAAGTGAGGAGCTACCATGCATTTCAGGGGTTTTCACCAGCCTTAAAAACTAGGATTACCCGGGAAATCAGACCCTGCAAGGCTCCTGCGTGTGCAAACACTGCCCCCCTGGAGCAAAAGGTAAACAGGCAAATGCCCCCCTAAGGAGCTCTAAGTCTGTAACCGACCGGCTCCCTGCAATTAGAAACTGAAAGCAATCACTTACTTTTTGCAGCCACTGAGTATAATTTTCCATCACATGCTCCAGATGTTGAAGTTTCTGGGAAGAGAAATCCGGTTCCACGTGCGGAGCATCTCTCTGCAGGGCGTTTGTGCTGTACTGGTCTGTCGTACTCTCACGACAGTTGCCGTCCTGTTCTGGAAGAATGAAAGTGTAGGCACACTGCCCATGTTGAATCCGGTTATATCTTCTGCCACCGTTCTCGGGACTCCGGCGCTGGTTGCTGCACCCTACGTGAGTCACAATGGCAGCGAGGCAGGCAAAGGAGAGGAAAACTGTCATTGTCCTGCGCGCGCTCTCCGCTCTCCTTCCGTGCCTCTCGCAAACCCTGCTCCTTCCTTCTGACCTTTAAACTAGTTCTTTATTTCAGGTAAAACTGCTTGTTTCCTTGCCTTTTCCCCCCCCTCAAAGAAAGCGTTTGTAGAAGAATCATAGAAAACTAGCCATTTGTTAGCTTTGTTCCAAAACGTTATTTTTTTATTTCACTGTAATGATAGTTTCCTTCGGTAAAACTGGAGATATTTATTGCATAGTAGCTGAGATTTATTGTTTCCTCTCTGTGTAACCGTTCAGTGTGGAGCCCGCCTGAGTCAGCTGCGTGTACATATTCTACAGCCTTTCCTCTGCGCTATCTGCTGCAGATCTGCTATTTTCTCCCAGACCTCAGTGAGTTTTATTAAGGTTGCACATCCAAGCCAAGCTGGAAGCAGGCAGCCTTTCACAAGATGACTTGACAGGAATGCATGAGTGTGCCCCTATGCTAAGGATTGCTGATGGCTTTGGGCGGCGGGATCGTCTTACAAATTGGCTAGTTGCGCATGACCTCGACCATGTATGGGCCTCCGGCCCCTTCCGCAGACGATTGCCTGGAGCCTTTGGCAGATACACGGAAAATCAATGAACAGAGCAGTCCACCTTAACACACTTTTGGTGTGCATGCTGACCTACTAAAGCCTAGCAAGCTAGCAATACGTTGTGAAAGTTACTGTTTAATTAGGGACCCCTCAGGAGAAAATTGGCATGAAATACAATGAAATTATTCTTGATAGTGAGCAATAAATCTGTATGTGCTTAACATTTGTTTACAAAAACATTTCTTTTTGACTCTGGGGAAAATATATTAAAAAGCATTTAAAGAGATGGTATTTTTTTTTTCATTGTACTCACTTAGACTTTTTGGAGTTGGGGAAAATAAACAGAGAGGATCAAATCAGCAAAGCCAACAAAACAATTCCCCTAATTTGTCCGCAAGCAATACAGCATGTGCATATTAAATAGGATTATTTAAGTGCTTTGGGGGATATGGGTTTTAAATGAAACTGGCTCCCTGGTCAGAATGCAGACTTTCACGCTCCGTTTATATAAATTGAGCAACTTCCCTAAAAAAACAGTGTGGTTCCAATTGAAGACAGTGGCCTGAGGATTATTAATTCCTGTGGTACATGCTAATCATACATTTCACAAGGACCTCTTTGGTGTTGCTATGGCTATCTTTAACACTGGCGTGGAGTGCCACATAAATCCTCCCGTGGCTGCATAAGCAAGCAATTTGAAAAGAAATACACATCAGGTGTGCTGATGGCCAGCAAAGGGCTAACTAGGAGACACCTCTGCGGTTATAGAACCAAGAACAAACAATGGTCAGGAGGTGTTGTGCCACATGCAGAATATAAATATTTGAAAAAACAGGCCAGTAAAATATGAAGACTAGGCAAACATTACAGAAGTTAGGGCACAGCGCTGAGATCTGGACTGGATGTGTGCAGAAAACATGATTTATGAGCAGGGTGTCACCAGGACCTGCAAGGGATTTCGGGCCATGGACCCTCTCAAATACAGACATGGCCTCAAAGCAGATGCCACAGGTGTTGACCTCCATGTGCTGGACTGGCAGCAGGGCAGTAGGGGAAGGTCAGGAGTGCCTGGAGATGGGCCTGCAGGGAGGAGCTACAGAGAGTGAGAGTAAAACCTGGAGAAATAAACCATGCCTACATTTGTCAGCTATGTCCACACCTAACAACAGATTTCTGATGAGACAGAGGTAGAGGCACGTCACATCAGATGTAGACACAAAGTCTCTAAACTACCTTTGCAGCCTGCTCTTTCGCTGTCATGTGTCTCCCTGTCAGCTGATGTCACTCCTGCACAAACATCCTAAGGATGCAAATGAAGAACTTAGTATCTGTCAGCCCATGTTAGGCACCCCTGAGACGCTATCTCAGTTAATCATCCCAGCCAACCTAAGACATGAGCAGCATGTTGACTCCCATTTCATCAACAGGAACACTGAGTCCCAGAGTGAATATTGGGTAATCACAGGTCACATAGCTAATGGTGCCAGTAGGTGAAAGCAGGCAGGCACACTGACTCAGAACCAGCCTGCCTTTAAAATACCTGTGCACAATGCAACTGATTCCAGAAGCAATGGACTTAGAGGGCTAAAACAGCCCAGCATGGATACCTAGAAGAAAAATGACTGTTAAGGCTAGTTTATACCTCCGAAGTGATTTTATCCTTTTCTTACACCCAAAAGCAAGAACAAATGTCACAGGAACCCCCATCCATGCACAAGGATGAAGAGGATTGGAGAAACATACATACACTGTCTGAAAACACATTCCAACATGGCTTGTTTTGAAAATTAGCCATGAATGGCGGGCGCTGCAGGTTAAGTCACTGCCTTCAGCGCCAGCATCCTGTGTGTGCGCCAGCTGGAGTCCTGGCTGCTCCACTTCTGATCCAGCTCCCTACTAATGTGCCTTGGAAAAGTAGTAGAGGATGGCCCAGGAGCTTGGGCTCCTGCACCCATGTTGGAGACCCAGATGAAGCTCCTGGCTCCTGGCTTCCATCTAGCTCAGTCCCGACTGTTGCAACCATTTGGGGAATGAACCAGCTGATGTAATACTTCTCTCTGTCTCTCCCTCTATATCTCTGTAACCCAGGTTTTCAAATAAATAAATATTTTTTTTATTTGACAGGTAGAGTTAGACAGTGAGAGAGTGAGAGACAGAGAGAAAGGTCTTCCTTCCGTTGGTTCACCCCACAAATGGCCATGTTGGTTGGTGCTGCGCCAATCTGAAGCCAGGAGCCAGGTGCTTCCTCCTGGTCTCCCATGCAGGTGCAGGGCCCAAGCACCTGGGCCATCCTCCACTGCCCTCCCGGGCCACAGCAGAGCGCTGGACTGGAAGAGGAGCAACCGGGACTGTAACCCGGTGCCCATATGGGATGCCGGCGCCGCAGGTGGAGGATTAACCAAGTGAGCCACGGCACCGGCCCCCAAATAAATAAATATTAAAAAAAAGAAAAGAAAAAGAAAATTAGCCGTGGGAACAAGATTCCAAAACGAACACCTAGAAGTGCTTTGTTAAGACGAAATGCAGCTGAAAACTGGCAGAAAGTGAATGGATGAGTGGTGAAGCTTCCATTAAAGTACTCTTGTGTTTCTACACAACTTGTTAAAGACCCAGTCCTTTGTGTGTGTGTATCTGTGTGTGCTTGTGCAGGTGAACTTCTCCAATCTGAACCAATGCAAGGAAGGAATGCACACTTTCCTGGGAAACCTGAAATGCAAGTAAAAAACAAAACCAAAAAGGAGGTGGGGGAGGGGATCAGACGAAGAGAAACAAAGACCATAATACTGGAGATTCTAGGGTCCTTCTGGGGAAAATGAAGATCAGTTCTGAGCGACTGGAGAACTCGGACATGCAGAATCGATGCCAGTGTTTCTGGCAGTCCAGCTGAGACAGTAAGTGCGTTTGATCATGATGTATGGAAGGAACATGCCCTCAGGGCCATGACACTGAGTAACCGCAGCCACCATGGGCAGTTGTTGCTGATGAGTCGGAAAGGCGGCTTGATTCAGAGTAAAATTTAGGGAGTAACAGAAGGAATAGGCTGGTGATATTTGTTTAAGGATTCTTCCCCCACACTTCCAAAAAATAGACAGTTTCTAAGGAACTAAATGATTGTATGCCATTGAACTCTGAGGCTGCTTTTATTTGTGTTGTTGAATCTCTACAACAAGAAGGCACAAGCTTTAAGGTTCTGGTCTCAATCTACAAACAGTCCTAGCAAATGTCCTGCTGGTCCAGAAATTTCCAGTGAGACCAGGAACACCATTTGGACAGAACTTAATGCCCCCCTAAGCACTCACGTTTGTTATGTCTTTTTTGAAGCTTCCCCTGTTTCAGGAAGACCTGATAAGTAGCTCTCTCTGTTGAATTTCCAAAACTTTCTCTTCCTATCTTCCAAAGAGCACTTCTCATGTTGATTTGTAGCTTTTTCCTGTGTTTCTCCTTCTAGGTGTGGGCTTCTAAAGTGATCTCCTTTCTTTCATTGATTTCCCAGCATGCACTGCACACTTTGTTTGAAGGAATGGAAAATTAAATGAATGAGTGAACAAGAACGTTAATTACTTAGCTGATGCAGCTCACCTGACTTATACATCCATTGCATTTTTTGGTGTCACCAGGGCCTGCGAGGGATTTCGGGCCACGGACCCTCTCAAATACAGACATGGCCTCAAAGCAGGTGCCACAGGTGTTGACCTCCATGTGCTGGACTGGCAGCAGGGCAGTAGGGGAAGGTCAGGAGTGGCTGGAGATGGGCCTGCAGGGAGGAGCTACAGAGAGTGAGAGTAACTTGGAGAAATAAACCATGCCTATATTCGTCAGCTGTGTCCACACCTAACAACAGATTTCTGATGAGACAGAGGTAGGGGCACGTCACATCAGATGTAGACACAAAGTCTCTAAACTACCTTTGCAGCCTGCTCTTTCACTGCCATGTGTCTCCCTGTCAGCTGATGTCACTCCTGCACGAACATCCTAAGGATGCAAATGAAGAATTTAGTATCTGTCAGCCCATGTTAGGCACCCCTGACACGCTATCTCAGTTAATCATCCCAGCCAACCTAAGACATGAGCATCATGTTGACTCCCATTTCATCAACAGGAACACTGAGTCCCAGAGTGAATATTGGGTAATCACAGGTCACATAGCTAATGGTGCCAGTAGGTGATACAGGTTTAGTCATCCCTTGAGACACCTGCATCCCACGCTGGCGTGCCTGCCTGAAACTGAGTCCTGCTTCCACTTCTGATCTAGCTTTCTGCTGATGAACCAGGGAGGCAGTAGATGATGGCCCAAGTATTTGGGTTCCTGCCTCCATGTTGGAGATTGGGATGGAGTTCCTGGCTTCGCTCTGGTCCAGCCCCAGCTATTTGTGGGCATTTGGTTCAGTGACTCAGTGGATGGAAGATTCCTTGACTTTCTCTCTCTCTCTCTCTCTCTCTCTCTCTCTCTGTCTCTCTCTCCCCCCTTCTCTCCCTCTCTCTCTTTTCTGTGTTGCTCTTTCAAGTAAACAAAAATAAATATATAAACTACCAAAAAACCATAAACTTATTCTAAAGAATGAGTTAGACACAAGTATACAATGAAATAAAAATGCCTACTGTTTTTAACCCTTTAAACCAGTTTTCACATTCAAGTCTTATGAAACCCTGAACAATTATTTATTATTATTCCCATTTTGGATATGAGAAAATCAGGGCCACAGAGATAGTTGCCCAAGATCTAAGATCCTTTTTGTGGCAGAGCAGGAATTTGATCCTTAATCTAACTCTGAGGCCTGCTAGGAATATTGCTTATAAAAATACCCGTGCTGGGAAACAAGAAGAAAATATTTTCTAGAATTTAAGGGACAGGAACAGCACAGCATCTGTAACCAAGACTCATCCCCGCCTGTCCTGCCCATGACCTTCACAGATTTGCT